TGTGTGGAGAGGATTGTAAATATACGATAGGATGAATGTAAAACTGATGTTCTCCCATGTAAACTATCACATAATTCACAATCCAACTTTTAAAAAAGAAAATTTTAAATATTTAAAAATTTAAAAAGCAGATATTTCCCTTGGTCCTGTGGGATTTGAACCACAATGTTGGCAGTTCAAACTCACCAGCTGTTCCTTGGAAACCCTACACAGGGTTGCTATGAGTTGGAACCAACTCGATGGTACTAAACAACAACACACTCCTTTTCAGAAGCTACTAGCACACATGGTCTACCAAATAAGTAAATGATCATAGTGACCCTGCATATGGGTTCCAAGGAGCAGCTGGTAGATTTGAACTGTTGACCTTGCAGTTAGTAGTACACCAGGACTACAGACCAGGAAATCCTATGGAACAGTTCGACTCTGCCTTTTAGGATAACTATGAGTAAGATTCAACTTGATCCCACACAATAACAACCCTTATGGTAGCAGATCTCCAAGTTTTTTCTCCACAGGAGCAGTTGGTGGGGATGAACCAACCACCTTTCAGTTAGTAGTAGAGTGCTTAACCACTGAGCCACCAGGGTTCCTTTGTTGTTGTTAGGTGTCATTGAGTTGGTTCATATCCATAACAACCCTACGTACAACAGAATGAAACAAGCTCAGATCCTGTGCTACCCTCACAATTGCTGCTATGCCTAATGTTGCTGCCACTGTGTCAATCCATTTCATTGGCGGTCTCCCTCTTTCTTGCTGTCCCTCCATTTCACCAAGAATGATGTTCTTCTCCAGGCATTGGTCCCTCATGATAACATGTCCAAAGCATGAGAGAAGTCTGACCATCTTGGTTTCTAAGGAGCATTCTGCTTGTACTTCTTCCAACACAGATTTGTTTGTTCTTTTGTCCGTACTTGGTACCTTTAATATTCTTCTCCAGCACCATAACTCAAATGCATCAATTCTCCTAAGGTTTTTCTTACTCAAATGACCTCTTTAATATGTTAAAAAGCAAAGAGGTTACTTTGAGGACTAAGGTATACCTGATCCAAGTCATGGTATTCTCAATAGCTTCATATGCATGTGAACATTGGAAAATGAATAAGCAAAACTATAGAACAATTAATGCATTTGAATTAAAGTGTTGGCAAAGAATACTGAAAGTAACATGGACTGTCAGAAGAACAAACAGTTAGGGTTCTCCTAGAATCAAAGATGGCAAGTCTTCATCTTTAGTACTATGGGCATGTGGTTGGGAGGGACCA